CTCCCTGGTAGTCATGTGGCTTTGTTTCTTTCCAGCAGCTTCTCCTTGACTAGCTCAGAGCAACAGAGGGTCTGCACTGGGCCTCTGTTGGGGAGAGGGGCTAGGGAGGCCCAGGGTTACGTTCTCCATATTTGTCGTTTTGGAATGTGTTCTTGGTATAAAGAATGAAACCTAAAAGCACCTGGCGAAACAAATCTTTAAACTGCCCTGGATCCATCAATTCATGGGATTGATAACACCTCATAATATATGGAAACTGTATTCTCTGATATCTTGCTTACCCCCTTCCCACCCACCCACCACAGGCTCTTTGTTGTTGTGTACCGTGGAGTTGGTTCTTGACCCGCTGGTGGGTTTGAACCGCCAACCTTTCTCGATTAGCAGCTGAACGCTTAACCATTGCACCACCAGGGCTCCTTCACAGGCTCTTAGGACCTCATATATGTTATGTTGAGGTTGTTAGGTGCCGTTGAGTCAATTTTTAGCAAATAGCAACCCCATGTGACAGAGTAGAACTGCCCCATAGGGTTTTCTAGGCTGTAATCATTATGGGAGCAGATCACCAAGTCTTTCTCCCGTGAAGCCACTGGGTGGGTTTAAAGGTATGTGTTATAACCCACCCATTGCCGTTGAGTCAATTCTGACTCAGTGACCCAATAGGTCAAGGCAGAACTGCCCCATAGGGTTTCCAAGGCTACAGTCTTTATGGAAGCAGACTACCACATCTTTCTCCCACAGAGCGGCTGATGAGTTCAAACTGCCAACCTCTGGGTTAGCAGCTGAATGCTTAACTGCTGCACCACCAGGGCTCCTTTTGTATGTATTATAGGATCCCTTAATAAATATAGGACTTAATTGTATTCATTTGTATGTGTGAAATTCAGTATTTCAAGAGGCTAAAGTCTTTTCCTATATAGATTTTAGTTTCTTAATTCTGTAATTAAATTTAAATGTCGTTTTTTAATACAATTGTATAACTTTTTGCCACAAGTTAGAATACTATTAATCACTTCTGGGAATTTTATACCTTATCTATTCTATACTTCTTAGTCCTAAAAAATGCCCAAAACTTCACAGAGTAGCCACAGTAAGGGGAAATAGGTTGAGACAAAAGTAACACGGCTTATATTTTGGTAGATTTCTTCAGAAGGATTCTGGTATATAGCTCTTCTCCTCTTCCTCCCTCTCACCCAGGTCCTGACTTCTAAGCAGTTTCTCATACCCTAATCCAGTCCTTCATTTCTCACCAGACCCTGCAGTAACCTGTGCTCCCAAAATCCAATCTTGACTTTCTCCAATTCATTCTCACAGTAATCAACTGGAAGGACATATTTGCACATATGTAAATAAAGGTTTTCTGTGTAAAGTATTCCTAACAATCAATATGAAAATGCCAATTACACAAATAGAAAAAATAGGTACCATCATGACCAGTAATCATAAAAAGTGTTCTCCTTCCTTAGGAATCAGAGAAACACAAATTCAGCTGATGAGATGCTGTTTGTACCTATCAAGTTGTAAAAGGTTAAAGCAATGTGCACAGTATTGGCAAGGATTGAAGAAAAAGAAGCCCTCAAATTTTGCTATTTGGAATTTAAAATGATATAGCCTTTCTAGAGGACAATTTCATAATATGTGTCAGAAGACTTTAACATAAACTTAACAATTCCACTTCTATGAATTTATCTTCAGGCAAAGAGAGGACAGTATTCAAAAATCTATGTGTATATAGGAGGATGTTTGTTGGAAGTGGTTTATAGTGATAAAAAACAAAACAGCCTAACTGAGGGTTTTAGTTAAATAAAATAAATAAATTTTGGTATATCCATACAATGGAATTCTATGAAGCCGTGAAGAATGATAGTGTAGAGGTCTTTTTTTTTTTTTTCCTTATTTGCCTGGAAGTACTTCCACAATATATTTTTTAAGTGGAAAAAGGAAGTTATAAAGCAGCATACATAATGCAGCCCCTTTTTGTAAGGAAGAACTATGTTGAGGGTGTGTCTAGCATAGAAAAGTCTGGAAGACTATATGCCAGAATGTTAACATGGTTTTGCTTTTGATGATAAGTTTATTAAAACAAAACTTGTGGCTGTTGAGTCGATTCCGACTCATAGCGACCCTGTAGGACAGAGTAGAGCTGCCCCATAGGGTTTCCAAGGAGCGGCTGGTGGATTCCAACTGCAGCCTTTTTGGTTAGCAGCCGCGGCACGTGGTAGCTCCCAACCACTGTGCCACCAGGGCTCCAATCAGTATATAGGCAGTTTTAAATTTTAATCTTCATGTTTACCTATGTTTTTAATGATAAATATTATGTGATAATATACATGTATATCTTTAGAGAAGGCATTGTCTCCCTCTTCAGAGGTTGAGATCTGGGACTTTATATGTAATGTTTTCTTTTTCTTTGAGAGAGTAAAGATGTTTAAGAAAAGGAGCTTAAGTAAAAATTGTTAAATTTGGATAGTTAGGCACATGGATGTCTGCTACAGTTTTTTTTTTTTTTTTTTAATGTTTGAAAAGCATCATAAAAAAGGATTTCACCTTTAAGGTTCACAATGCAGTAGGGGATAGATACAAGTATAAGTAACTATGATAGAAAATAACACTGTGTTTTTTCTGTTTAACTCTGTATCTTTTTAAAATTTCTTTTTGTCTTGAAGTAATGCATGACCGCAGCTTAAAAAAATCAAGAAGCGTTGAATTCTTATAATAAGGAATATCAGTCCCTTGTTCCACCCTGCTGTACTCCCAGACCGTTCCTTTTACACTTGATTGTAGGTTGAATTTAGAATTCTAGCTTGAGGATCACTTTTCCTCAGAATTTTGAAGGCTTTTCAGAGCACAAAGATCCTCTTCACTGGAGGGGCAGACAAGCTTCTCTGGCTTGCAAGTACCCACAAAGGCACCTAGGTAAAAATGAAAAAAAAAAAAAACAAAACTGCCTGATTGGAGTGAGAATCCTGTCAGGTCCTTCAAGAAGCTCTCTTTGCCTATGGCATGTGGGTTTGTATACTTTCTTGCCACCCCCCCCCCCCACACACACCAGTGTATCCTGGAGACTCTAGCTGTGTGCTGATCCTTCCATCAGGTACAGGCAACTCAGCATGTTGAGTGCTTACTGGCGTTAGGTGAAGCTAAGCTCACCTTCTCAGGTGTAGCATCCCCCTTGCAAACCTAGCCTTCAGGCCTTCCTGAATTCTATTCTTAGACTTCCTTGGGTAGTAATGAGTTTCTTCCCACTGGGATTGTACAGACAGAGATGAATGATACAATCAATTTCCAGAGACTTTGCAGAGGATTGGCTCGTGGCTCTAAGAGAACGGTTTGGCTTTATCATGATCCTGTGACTGTTGACCCTTCCTGAGATCTTGGCCTGCTTCACCTGGACTTATTCTTTAAGGGAGTGCCTCCTCTAGGAAGCTTTCAACACCATTTCTTCTTTCCTACTAGCTGTGTTAAATCCCCCCTTCATGTGCTTCCAAAATATTTATGCCTCTCTCACTGCAAACTCTATACTGCTGCATTATTTTAGAATTGTCTATTTAAATGTCTAGCATCCCTACTGAAGATAGGGATTGTGTTTTATTCATCTTTGTTTATTGTGTGCTTAGGGTGGTTCTGGCACAATGTAGCGATTCATTGAAATGAATGAATGAGGTAATGAGCAAATAAGAGAGAGAATACGTGATTTCATGCTGATTGACTATATTGGGACATTCACTCCACTTGTATGTGTATTTTTTCAACTCAGAGCTGTAATAGTGAGGTGTCGCCTTTTTACCCAGAACATGCCTGCTGTACCCATGGAATCCAACCTAGTTGGTAGAAAGAGAAGTGTTTTCACCCAGGAGTGGTTATCAGAAATGACTAGAATATGATTGAAGGAAGTATATTTGGTATATTCTTCATCAAATAAAAATTCTAGCTTTAAAGAGGGGCGTAGGCTATTATGACTGAAAGGGATCTTAGCAAATCCAAGCCCTTTGGTTTTTCAGATGAGGAAACAGACAAAATACAATCTTTACTGGTGCCATTGTTGGTGCTATGGCATAGGTTTTAGAAACAGCATTGCATCTGGGGACAAGAAACATGATTTTAAAATCATAGCTCTGCCATTAAGAGTTTAGGGAGTTTGGGCAATATCCTTAACTTCCATGAGCACCTTTTTTCATCAATAAATGAAGGAAATTAATGCCCTCCCTACAGGGTTGTTGTAAGAATTAAATGTGAGCGGCATGCAAAAAGACCTGGCATATTACTCAATATTTTTTAAGCTCTAAAACCTATTTTGTTAGGAAACAGAGTTTCCCAATTTGTGAGCATAGTCCTTTACCTCCCTCTGGAAAGGTCTTGACTGCTTTACTAGTGTTACCAGTACCAGTTGCCCTTGAGTTGATTCTGACTCATAGTGACCCCACATGTGTCAGGGTAGAACTGTGCACCATAGGATTTTCAGTGGTTGATTTTTTTTTTGGAAGTAGATTGCCAGGCCTTTCCTCTAAGGTGCCTCTGGGTAGACTCAAACCTCCAGCCTTTTGCTTAGCAGCTGAGCATGTTAACTGTTTACACCACTCAGGGACTCCAGTTACCATGTAGATATCCTAAATTATTTTATCATGTGTTTCTGTAAACAAGTTCTGTAATTTGCAGTGCTAGATTGTGGTAGTATCTAGAAACATATCTGGTTACGGTCTCCATTGAGCCAGCCTGTGTCAAGGCAGTAATCCAAAGCATGATTGTGGATTGTGTCTGTATGAGAGTCTCTTTGCTTGTGGTCCGTAGTAACAAAGAGCTCTTTTTAAATTCTACCACATCCATACCCACACTTCTTTGATTTTGAATTTGACCAGTATATTTAGCTGGCAAATAGTTGAGTGTTTAGTATATTTGTGGGCAAAGCTAAATTCATAGTGCATTTAAATGAACTAAGATAATCTGAATAAAGCAAAATTATTTGGAATGCCTTTCTCTAGAACATGCATTTTGTTTTTCCCCAGAATAATTTTGAAGAGGATGAAGATGTGGAAATGAAGAATGGTATAACCCAGGGAGACAAACTACGTGCCTTAAAAAGTCAGAGACAGCCACGCTCCTCACCATCCTGTGCATTTAGGTAATCCATTTTAAACTTAAATTTGTAGGATGCTTTCCTTTGTAGGTAAAACATTTGATGCTTGTTTTTTTTTTTTTTTTTTTTTTAATTAAATATCATTCTACCTCTTGATTTTTGGTTTGTTGCTATTTCCCTGTTTTGCATTGTATACATATTATTTATTTTGTCACTGTGGGGAGTAGCTGAGTTTTAGACATTTATTGAAAGCAGATGCTGCATCTCAGTCTCTGGAATTTCACCTTAAACTGCTAAGAGGTTAGCTTTGCCCTGGGAACTCTGTTCCAAATTCCATTTTAAATTCCACCTTTCTCCTCCCGTGAGTGCGTTTCCTGCCTTGTGATGAATCCTCACAGGTGTGCCAAGGCTTTTGTATTGAAACTAGAGTGTGCAGAAAGGTGTTGTTGTATGTTAAAATTTGGTATATCCTAATTAATTCCTTAGCCTTACTTTCTATTTTTGAGAAATGAATAATGGATTCTTATCTGTGCCTGTAAAGTTAAAAACCATCTTGAGTTTGAAGTCTGAAATCACTCATCAGAATCAATTGATGGGACTTGACTCTGAGCCCTACATATTAGATGCACTGAGAGTTCAGATTGGGTGAGGAAAGGTTTCAGGATCAGTGTAGGTGCAAAAATCTGTAAATATCATCAAGATTCTTTATTGTCATTTATGGGGTGCAGTAGCCCGGTCCAAAAATGAACATGGCCACTTTTCTTTGAATTTTAAGTGAGACACGTATAGCAGGAGGAATGTTTTGCCAGTATGATAAACATTAGACAGAATCACAGGGAATTTGATTGTCATGGTTTTATCTGGGAGGATCATAACAATGTCAGATTGGGTATGGTTTCTTACTTAACGCTTCGAATACTGGTTTGCTGATCTGAGAAATAAAGGTAGATATAGCTCAGATTGAGGCAATCATTTTCTACAGTAAGGTGAGAAAATGGGATAGGAAGCCTGGTGCTTAGGAATAACCAGCAACTCCCACCAGAAAGTTGAAGAGAAGAAACATGTACTGAGTGCTTGCTATGGGCCAGGAGCCATGTAGACACTTAGTTTGGATATAAGGATTAGCTGAGTTCACACAAAAGGTATGCATCATTATCCACATATAGGTTGGTTGCTTGAAATCATTCCCTAAAGGAATGGAGTTGGAAATGGAGCTGATATTCAAACCCAGTTCCATTTACTCTGTGCTCAGTGGAAGTTTCTTCAAGATTAGTGTATATTATCAATCTTTTTTTATTCATCATTTGTTTCCCTTGAAATGCTAAGAAATTGCTTTATATTGATTAAAATTAATTAGAAACAGATTTATATTTGATTATTAAGAAATCATAAGCAGAAGAAGTGATAAGTTACAGGAGAGTATAACTTGGCAAATAAATAGGCAAAAGAAGTGAGAGAAACTCTGCTACATACATTTTAGAAGACTTGTCCCAATATGGTTTTTCTGTTTTCTTCATTTGCTTTTATTTTCATTCTCAGAAATGTTCTCATTTTTGGAATTTAGTTTTCTTAACAGCATCATCAAACATTCTTTACACTGAGTGGCTATAGTACCATCTTCTGATTAAGAAATGTTGTTGTTAGGTGCCATCAAGTTGGTTCTGACTCATAGCCGCCCTAAATGCAACAGAAGGAAGCACTGTCCAGTCCTACGCCATCCTCACAATTGTTGCTATGTTTGAGCCCATTGTTGCAGCCACTGTGTCAGTCCATCTCGTCAAGGGTCTTCTTCTTTTTCACTGACCCTCTACTTTACCAAGCATGATGTCCTTCTCCAGGGACCAGTCCCTCCTGATAAGACATCCAAAGTACATGAGATGAAGTCTTCCCATTCTCGCTTCCAAGGAGCACTCTGGGTGTACTTCTTCCAAGATAGATTATACGTACAGTAAAGTGTTCACATTTTAAGTACAGAGCTTGAGTACTTTTTACATATGTGTACACCCATCTAACTACCACACAGACAAGCTATAGAATATCCCAAGCCTCCCAAAAGGCTTCCTGGTGCCCACTCTCAGTTAATATCGTCCAAAGATAACCACTGTTCTTCTATCACCATAGATTTTGTCTGTCCTTCTTGTTGTTATTAGGCGCTGTTGAGTCGGTTGACTCATAGTGGCCCTATGTACAACCGAACAACAACAACAACAGAACAGATTTGTTTGTTCTTCTGGCAGTCCATGGTATATTCAATATGTATTCAATGTGATGTTTCTTTGCCAACACCATAATTCAAAGGCATCAATTCTTCTTTGGCTTATTCATTGTCCAGCTTTTGCATGCGTATGAGACACTTGAAAAATACCATGGCTTGCATCAGGAGCACCTTAGTCCTCAGGGTGACATCTTTGCCTTTTAACACTTTAAAGAGGTCTTTTGCAGCAGATTTGCCCAATGCAGGAAGTCGTTTGATTTCTTGACTGCTGCTTCCATGGGTGTTGATTAAAAAATGAGATGTTTTAAGTAAAATTCAAGATGAAATAAAATGAGTAATAGGTAAAATAAATTTCCTGCTGGTTCTAGGATTTATTTTTTAAAGGAGATGAATATATATATATATATATATGTCCCTTTGTAAGATTTCTCCCTTTTATCAATCTAATATTTTGGTCCTTGTTTAAGTGTATGAACCTGGTGATATGTGAGCTTTTGTTTTTGATTTCTTAGGTTGGATGATATAAAAGGACAACCAAGATCAGCATCACAGCCTTTCAGGTACTGTTAACAAGGTTGAATTTCTGTAGTTTATAAATAAATGCTACTTTTTAGATAAAGTTCCTAGCCCTTAAACTGTTGAAAATAAACTACACACACATTTTCACTTCTTAAATTTCTTCTTCCCCATTCCAGATGGTTTCAATATGTTTTACTTTTAATGCTCACCAAGAGCAGGAGTTCATGTTTTCCTGAAGTCTCCACAGGGCTGTGTGGTTGTGGTAGCAATATCAATACACCTTGTACTCCTGGCACATTTTGGGAGCCCTGGTGGCATAGTGGTTAAAGCATATGACTCCTAACCGAAAGGTCAGCAGTTCGAATCTACCAGCTGCTCCTTGGAAACCCTATGGGGCAGTTTTACTCTGTCTTATAGGGTCGCTATGAGTTGGAATCGACTTGATGGCAATGGGTTTTTAGTAAGCCACAGTGGTTAAGAGCTGTGGCTGGTAACCAAAAGGTTGGGAGTTTGAATCCACCAGCCATTTCTTGGAAACCCTATTGGGTAGTTCTACTCTGTCCTATAGGGTCACCATGAGTCGGAATCGACTTGATGACAATGGTTTTTTTTTGGTTTTAGTAAACAACACTTGCTTTGCCACATCCTTCTCTCTAATGATAGATTTTACCTTGAACTGTTTTCATTTTTGTTAGTCCTGTTTTCCCCTATTTTTTTTTGTATTTGTTCCCCTCTTTTGTTTTATTCCCTTCTCTAATCTCCATATGAAGAGGAAATAATAGCATTTTTCTGTGGAAAAATGTCTTCTGAACACTCCACAGTGGTACCAGGATCCAATATATGACTTGGCAAGAGTGGTAGAAACATTTCTCCAAAACCGTTGATGAAATAGAAGAAAGAAGCTGATTCAGTCTTCACCTTGGGTTCTTATTCACTAGGTTTAGGGTTGTTTAGGGGAGGCAGTTCTGAGAGGGCCCAGGCTTCCCTGGTAGTGACAGCTGCTTTTTTGTACAAATTTTCCTACTCTTGATTTAGAGGCAAACCTGGCGCCTAAGCTGTTGTTTGGATGGAGGATGGCAAAGGAAACCATCTATAAGTAAATGTAGCAGATAAGTAAAGCAGGGCCCGTCGACATTAAATAATTTGTCTAGGATAAAGTAGATTTGGGATTAAAACCATGACTGGGCCCTGGCTTCTAGATTTGAGTCAATTTTTCCTTTTTATTCATTCAGCAAGCATTTATAGGACACCTCCTCTGAGCTCAGCACCGTGTTGTTGTTAGGTACCATTGAGTTGATTCTGACTCATAACGACCCTATGTACAACAACCCTGTGCTGACCACTGGGAATTGAGATGAGAGATGGTTCTTTGTCCTCAAGGATTATATCAAATAAGGATAACGGACAAATATTTATTAGTTATCTTGTCATAGCTGATTGCTGAATGTTTAAGATAATACACTAGTATTATCTTAGTGTGACATTTCAGGCAATGAAATATGGTATAAAAGCTATGACTTACTATGAGAATATATGGTGAATTGGGGCACTTAACCTGCCTGAGGATTCAGTGAAGGCTTGCTGTATGAGTGGACAGTTAATGCTAAGTAATGGCAGTGAGTCATATGGAGATTGAAGATAAGAGGTGGAAGGAGGTAGGGGGATGAGAAGACACCCTGCCAGGAAAGCAACACACGCAAATTAGACAAAGATATGAATACAGCTCATTCAGGAAACTCAAGGAGTTGTGTAACTGGAGTGGAAATATCCAGTGGGAAAGTGTGGGTAGAAGAGCTGGCTCAAAGAGGCAAGGACCAGACTTTGGAGGCTTTTATAAGCCAAGCCAAGAAGTTTGCACCGTACAGTAAGTCCCCGGTTATGAACTGTACTTGCCCTTTAATGTTATGTAAATTTGCCTTCACTTTGAAACGATTGAACCAACCCTTACTGGCAACAAATTCTTTATCACAATCACCTTCTTTTGCTGCACATGCAGCTTTTAAATCTTGAGCCTTTTCTTACACTAAAGTAAGGCTAAATAAGAACCCTATATACCTGTTCTGACTTATCTATAAATTCGATTTAAAGACAAAGTTAGGAACTGATCCTGTTTGTAGCCCGGGGACTGCCTGTATAAGTGCCAAGGAAAGATTAAATGGTTTAAACAATGAAGTGATACGATCAGATTTATATTTTAGATTTTGCTGGAGGCCAGTCAGAACTGAGTTGTTAAGGAAGAAGATGAATAGTAGTTGCTAGCAGCCAGGTGTAAGAATTAACAGTGGCTTTTCCTAGGGCAGTTGGAGGGTAGAAAGGAGGGCATAGATTTGGAATATAAAGGAGTGGAATGAATGCCAGCGGTAAGTAGAAATAACCAAGGATGATGGGGTGGTTAAGAGCAGGACTTTAAATCCTGGATTTGAATCCCAGTTGTACTGCTTGCTAGGTGAGTGACTTTGGAGTGGTTTTCATTTTGTCACTTGTGTAATGAGGACAGTAGTCCTAGCTACCTCCCAGGGTTGTGGTCAGGACTAACTGAGTTAACATCTGTAAGGTTCTTACAACAGCGCCAGGCAGAGTTTGTGGTATGTAAGTGTCGGCCACTGCTGCTGTCACCATTATTAAGACCTGTCATGATATCTTCAATGTTTTTAAGTTAAATTGTTACAGTTGATTATTGAACATTTAAGATAATTAGCATTATCTTAGTGTGACATTTTGCCTATTTTTCTCTACAAAGATTGAGTTCTTCCTCACAAGGATCTGCATCTTCTTTGAAGACCTCAAAAGGGGCTTTGTCCCCTTCAGCGACGGCCAAGAGGATAAACAGAGGTTCTTTGTCCTCAGGAGCCAGTGTAAGAAGGTAATTTTTTTCTCCCTTCTTCCTCCCTGGCAGGAGGTAAAGGAATTCTGCAACAGGCAATGAGTTTGGCTGTGGTGGTGTTAGGGGAGGGGACCAGGGAGAAGGGAAGAAAGCACAAAAGGTGCTGTGGTCTAACTGGGGCCTCTGTTCCAGTGTTACATTGTGGGGGACAAGGACGTGGTGGGAATGTTGTATAGCATCCCTTTCTTCTAGTGAATCTCTAACTTGCCTAATGTGATCCCCAAAATGGAGTTCAGTTGCACTATAAATGATAAATGGTATTGTCATTTCTCTCCTCATATACATAGACAGAATTAAAATGGGTAAGGACATTTGGTGTCGTTGTGTGACTGAATATATTTAAGTTAAATCTTGTACTTAAGTCTACTTTTTACTCTCCCCTTATAAAGTTCTTTTCATTTACTTCCTACCTCAGGACAAATAGAACCCCTAGATACTCTATTTCAAGATTGATCCCCAGTCAAAGTGTTTTAACCAGCTTCTTAGGTCTTAATTAATGGCTTTTGACAGAGAAAGTTGACGCATATAACTCAAGGCCACATATTGTAATATCATCAGGAGTGATAAAGAAGCCATTCTGCTGTCATCATTTGCATTGATCAGAATTGTCTTCATCAGGTCCCTCTAATGTCATAAATATGTGTTTTGGAAACAGACTCTTTGCATGAGTGTACATTGTTGTCTGTTTTTTTCCCTCTTCATCTGTGTTTTCGTTCAGCTTTTCCATAAACTCCCGGCTAGCCAGTTCTCTAGGGAACTTGAACGCTGCAACAGATGATCCAGAGAACAAAAAGACCTCACCATCCTCTAAGCCGGGTTTCATAGCCAGCCCATTCACCAACCTCTTGAATGGCAGCGGCCAGCCGACTGCCAGAAATTACTCTGAGCTCAACAACAACCAGTACAACAGAAGCAGCAGCAGCAGTGGGAGCAACATGAACAGCTACCCCAGCCCCCATGGCACCAAGACAGAGGAACACGGCAGCATTCTCCGACCCTCCTATACTGGGCTTTCTTCTTCTTCAGCGAGATTCCTGAGCCGCTCAATCCCCGTAAGTTCGCAGACACCACCTCTTGGTCCTCAGAACCCTGAAAGCAACTTTTGTGCCTTGCCTTCCCAGCCAAGGCTGCCACCAAAGAAATTTAATAGTGCCAAGGAAGCCTTCTGATCGATGCCTTTCCTCTGTGTTGTGAAACTGTCTTAGCACATACACTCTGCTGGCTCCTCTTCAAGTAAAGGCCAAGTTTCAACTGGTTTTCTTCCTTCCTTCTTTTTCTTTCTTCCTCCCTTCTTTTTAAGTGGTTTCTCTTACAGCGGAAACAGCGTCTGTTCCCTTCATCATGGACATTGTTGACTTAAGTTACTTTTCAGTTAAGTTTTCAAACCACTCTGAATATCTGGTACAAAGCCAGCAACTTAACTCATGTGCTATACAGTATTTGGCTTGGTTGTGGTGGTAATAGGAATTATGGCTTTTTCCACATCGTATATTAATGACTGAGTTTTTCAGTATTTAAGTGTAGACTGTACTGAATGAACAGTATCTTCCCAGAACCAAGCCATGAATATTTCACTTCCTGCAGGGAACTGACCCAGAGTTGATTAAATAGCAAATGGAATGTATTTATAAGGAAGGATTATAGATAGGTATATGGGATATAGGGGAAGGGAGATGCAGAGTATCTAGAAGATGTTTAGAATTGGCTATCATTCTTCTAGAGACAGGTAGGAAGATCTCCAATGCATTTTACCAATGAGTGCTTTATTTAAGTTACCACGCTCCCTTTGTAATTATCAATAATCACTGTTAGAGTAAAATCTACTGGTTCATCCCCTGCTATGAACTACTTTAATCATATATTTCAGTTGCCTTAAAGGGAACTGGAATCTGTTGAAATGTGTTTTGATTTGAGAAGGAAAAGGACGAAATAGGAAGGAGAGAGAAGTAGACCCCACATACCAAGAAAATATGGTTGAAACACTGATTGTACTCGTTGCTCCAGCAAGCCCTGGGAGTATCTTGAGAAGGCTGTGATCTGTCAGCCCTTTATACCCACTGTTCTTTAAGCATTTCCTCAGCCATTATCCACAGTGAGGATAATGATCTCCACCTGGGAGGAGAGGGGAGAAGGGAAAGTGCTGGTGGTGGTATTCAGTGTGCTGTTCATGGCTCACTCAGCAAGACAAGAAACCCAAAAAACCAAACTTATTGCCGTTGAGTCAATTCTGACTCATGGCAACCCCATGTGTTACAGAGTAGAGCTGAGCTCTGTGTGGTTTTCTTGGCTATAATCTTTATGGAAGCAGATCGCCAGAACTTTCTTCTAAGGCACCGCTGGGTGGGCTTGAACTGCCAACAATTTGATTAATAGACGAGCCAAAGCAGTTTTTACCACCCAGGGCAGGACAATAGCCCCGTGCTAAAGTGAATGGCGCCCAGTTGTCTTAGGAAACTACTTTTCTAATGTGAGGATATTGGGGCGGGGCGGGGACTCATTACCAGTCCCATCCCTACCTAGGCCTCTTTTCAAAGTTTTATTTCTTTTTCTCCATCCACACAGTCCTTTCCCTAAGAGGAGTTCTGGCACATAGAATTTTCTTCATCTGATTTTATTCCCTTTTTTTTTTCATTGTGGTAAAAATATATGTATCAAAATATTTGCCAATTCAACATTTTTAACATGTACAATTCAGTGACATTGATTATGTTCATTGTGTTGTGCAACCATCACTACTATCCATTTCTAAATTCTTCCATCACCATTAACATCAATGATGTTTTTCAGCATCATCTTAGATACCTTTATAGATTAAGGCCTCAGGTAACTGCCAACCTATCCCACCCCTTAATCTGACTCTAACCCCACTATGTAGATTGGGTACACATCTATTTTGAAAAACTCAAATCCATGTAATGGGGTTAGATGAAAAACAATAATATACTTAAATTTTGGTACCGATGTTTACAAGTCCTTCACAGCAGGAATTGATTCAGTCAATACTTTCACACACTGATTGTCCTGAACACTGTGCCTTATGGATCAGCCTGTTTTTTCAGACGGGAATACAGATCTTTCTGTTTTCAGAAAAAGTGTCATACATGTAAGTATACAGATAATTATATAAATATCTTGTGGATTTCATGGCTAAAGGTTTTGCATGATCCACATTTATGACTGAATACCTGAAGGATTGGTAGCTTGACAAGAACATGACACTGACTTTTTCTAGGTCTTTGTTTTCTTCTGTTAGTAGAAGCACAGGAGCATTCTTTAGACAATTATTCGTTTCCCCACTGGGTGATTTTTATATAACTTAATTTTGGTCTCATTCCATATTTTGTTCTTTCTTCTCACCTCTCCTCCCTTTCCTTCTCCTTACCCCTCTTCTGGCTGGAATAGAGTAATTTTCCAGTAAGTGAATTTAAAGGAATAGTCTGTGTGGGCAGCGGCTGCTACTCCCCTCTTCCCCCTCCTGAATTTGTCATCTTATTGTAAAGAAAAGCATTTATAAATAGAGTTGTCAACATGACAACAGTGTCCTCCGTCTCACCCTCCCAGGAAGGAACAGTACCAGTTGGCTTATAGCAGACCCTCCCTCCTTTCTCTTTTCCGAGAAAACCTCCCATGAGGGGAAGGCTGCAGGTCCTAATCCTGCTGACTTGGCTGGCAGAAACTCTAAATTAAGATGGAAATTCCCATTTTATGAGGAATAAAGTAGGAGGTTGTAATTTTTTTTTTTTTCCCTTTATCGGTCCAGGGCAGCTTTTCTGATTGTTGTAGGCTTAGTGTCTAAAGAAGATCACCCGTCTTCCCAGTGCTTCTGAAAATGTGAGACATAGGACCCCTGAAGAACTAGGACTAAAATCACTGGGCAAAATGTTTTTAAAGCATTTAAAACAATATTCTTTCAGCGCCTTTAAGAAAGACCCAGAAACTCTTAGGGGATAGAGGTGGCGGGTGTTTAGGGGGAGTCTAATATTTTAAAAACTGCAGTTAGCATCTCTTTTGAAAGCTGCAATTGCTTGCTCACTTTATGCAGCAGTTCAGCCCCCAGAAAAATGTAAAAATGATTTCCTTGTTCTGTCAGTAAATGCTTTAACACAGAAAACAAGACCAAATGTTAAGAAATCGTTATGGTTGTGATAGAATGGTGAAAAACAGATTTTATTGTTATTTATTTGCCCTCTTCTGTTAGTCTTGAGGTTTCTGCGGCCCAGTGCAGTGTACAAGGCTTGACTTTTGTTGACCCACTTACTGTAAAAAATCAGTTTCACTCCCTAAAACTCAGAGGAGTTTTCAAATGCTTAAGAAATGAAGGATATGTGATTATGGTGTGGGTGGGGTGGAAGTATTTTATTAAATTGAAATTACTTGAGGTATCTGTCTTGAATTTTTGCTATGTTTTCTTTTTAAGACACATCACTGAATTGCTATTCATAGACATTTGTCCTCACCTGACCCTCAAAAGTCTACCTTAGGTCATGGTGCTTCTCCCATAAGCTGTTTGACACTTTGCCTTGGTCTTAATCACAATACTCTTCTCCCTCTGAATTTTAACCATGTGTTCCCTATGTCCTCCATTAGATTGTGAGCTCTGAGAAGGCAGGGCCTGTGCCTTGTTTTTCATAGTTGTATGCCCTGTGCCTGGCATGTAGAAGGCACTCTGAATATTTGTTGGATGGATAGATGGATGGATGGGTGCTTAAATGATAAATGTGGTAAGAATTATTACCTCCATCTTAAAGATTAAAAATTTGAGGGTCTGAGAGATTAAATATTTTTCTCAAGATTGTAGTGCAAATAAATAGCAGTGCCATAAACATAGGTCAGTTTGACTCCAAGAGATACATTGTTTTGATTACATTATATCATGTATACACTGTGGCACAGTGGTTAAGAGCTATGGCTGCTAACCAGAAGGACGGCAGTTTGAATCCACCAGCTGTTGGAAATCCTATGCCGCAGTTCTTCTCTGTCCTATAGGATCGCTGTGAGTCAGAATTGACTTGATGACAATGGGTTTGGTTTTTTGGTTTTGTACACTGTTGTAGGTGTTTAAAATAGAGGGATATCCAAAGGATATCTCATTTTACCAAGAAGGGTCAGGGAAAGCTATGCTGAAGGGGTAACATATTAGTTAGCCTTTAGAAGATGAATAGGAGTCTGCTAGGAATCTAGTGATGAAAGCAGGAGGGGGAGGAATGGTCATTCCAGGCAATGTGAACAGTAAGAACAGAGGTACACCTTGATATTATAGGTAAGTTCTTAGGTTCTGAAGTCAGGTAGACCTGGGTTCAAGTCCTAGCTCTGCCACTTTCTAATGATGAGTACTTGGGCAAGTTACTTAATCTCTGTGAGCCTTAGTTTCCTTTAAGCATACTAATCAGGAGGAGATCAAGGTTTTGTACATTTTGAAGGTTATACAATTGTTGGTACCTATTTAAGATGAAGAGTCTCTGGGAGGTGCAAACAGTTAAGCGCTTGACTACTAGCCAAAAGACTGGTAGTTCAAACTCACCTATAGGCGCCTCAGAAGACAGGCTTGGTGATCTGCTTTTAAAAGGTCATAGCCTTGAAAACCCTAGGGAGCAGTTCTACTCTGCACACATTGGGTCACCATGAGTTGGAATAGACTTGATGGCGGCTAACAATGACAGCATTTAAGATAAAAAAAATTTTGGGGGGTAAATTTTATACAAACTTATGACTGTGTGTTTTGAAAAGGGTTTGTGTGGATGTGGGGCCTTGAAGCTTATGTGGTAATAATAAAAGGTGGTTATGATGAAGGAGGAAACCCTGGTGGCATAGTGTTTAAGAGCTACGGCTGCTAACCAAAAGGTTGGCAGTTCGAATCCACCAGGCATTCCTTGGAAACCGTATGGGGCAGTTCTACTCTGTCCTATAGGGTCACTATGAATCAGAATCGACTCGACGGCAGTGGGTTTTGGTTTTATGATGAAGGAGCCCTGGTGGCACAGTGGTAAGCACTTGGCTTGTAAACGAAAGGTCAGTGGTTCGAACCCATGAGCCTGCTGCATGGGAGAGAGAGGCAGCAGTCTACTTCCATAAAGATTACAGTCTTGGAAACCCTACGGGGCAGTTCTTCTCTGTCGGAATTGACTTGATAGCAATGGATTTGGTTTGGGTTTGGTTATGATGGTTAATTAAGGTAAATTATATAAAGTATTTTGCACAGTACTTGGAATATAGCTAGTACACAGTAATTGTTAGCTATTATTGTTTCAAGAGCAGTGAGTATTCGGGTGTAGCCAGAGCATGGGGGAGTTACCTGAAGACAAGGCTGGAAAGTGGACCTGAAGCCAGACTGGGGAAGTGCAGTCTGAGCCGTGAGAGTCTTGTAAGCAGAAGTGACCTGATCAATGCTGATTTGATGAAGATAATTCTGGCTGTGGTATGAATGATAGCTGTTGGAGGAAAACCCTGAAGGCAGGTAGACTAGTTTGAGCCCTATCTCCTGTCCCCACTTCCTACCTCAGGAGGTCTCCTTGGGTAAATGCTTTGCTCATTCAAGGATTATTCTGTGTTTCAATGCACATATAGTATTGATACTATTAAATAATCACGCACAACCAATAGCTTCAACATATTTTTATTATGAATTTTAAATGGATATATTTATTTTAGTAAATTAAAGCCTAACCACCCAAAGAAAAATTATGGTCTTTAGTAAACATCTTTTGAAAACATTTGAGATGAGGATTTGTAAAATATTGTGCTTTGTTATAATGCGCATGTGTGTATGTATATATATAACCAACCAGTTGCTGTCATGTTGATTCCGACTTGTGGTGACCCCATTTCTGTCAGAGTAGAACTGTGCTCCACAGAGTTTTCAATAGCTAATTTTTTTTTTTTTGGAAGTAGATGGCCGGGCATTTCTTTCGAGGTGCCTCTGGGTGCATTCCAACTTCTAACCTTTCGGTTAGAAAAGCGCATTAACTGTTTGCCCTACACGGGGACTCCTGTGTGTGTGTGTGTGTGTGTGTGTGTGTGTGTGTGTGTGTGTGTGTGTATGTGTAGTCAGCTGTTTGATTACAAAGAATTGTTTGTAACTTCTGTGTTGGAGGTCATAGAAATCTATAAATCCTTGCTTTAAGGGAGCAGCCTTTGAGAACAAGCTTTTATTGTATTGACCTTTAGGGTATAAAATGTAGTAATGATAAGCTATACTGTTATAACTTTCTTCTGAAATATGCTTTGTATATCACCTATCAAAATATTTTTCATTATTGAGTAGTAGTATATATTAAGCTTTGTTATTCACTCCTATATATTAATCTTCAAACATTTATGGGTATATGCTCATGATGAAGGTTGTAGGTTATGCCAATGATGGCATTCATTATCTCTTGGAATTTTTCTGTTCTGTATTCTGCTGCTTTCTCATCCCTTTTGTTGTATTCACCTCTTGATGATCTTCCCAACTCAGTCTCTTCCACCATTA